TGTCAGGTTTTCGTCCTCTCACGTTGTTCGGAAAACAATTTGACAACAGGAGGATACGAATCAAGCGCTATGGGGACTCTCGGCCGTACAGTGGCATTTCGCGAGGTGCAAGGGAATGGTGATCAATCATAACCCAAGACAACCACAGCTTGGTTAAGAAATGAAGTGTGGAGATTACAGGCTGCACCACATGTCGATTAGAGAGGATTCAAACGTCAAAACATTCGATAGGTCTCGTATGGCATCAGTGATCCCATATAAAATGCGATACTCCAGTAAGTAAAAAATCTCTAATGTAACACAAACGGTATATTGGTTTCCATTTACAAGTCCTCAAATAAAGAAATGATATCGCAAAAATATGAATGCTTCAGTGCTGTATCTCCTATTTAAAAAGATCTCAGTTTTTGAGAGATGGATGCAAAAACAGGCTGAGGATAATAAACGCCGTTCACAAAATTGTACCCCCATTCTTATCATCAGTTCATTACCGCTATAACATTTGACACAATTACGAAAGTGTCTAAACAGTCCCACAGAGTTATTTTCCCTTTCCCGAAACATTTGTTTACGTTTTTTATGATTGAATACCGATTTATATATAAACAGCGTAATATTTATTGTGATGTATTGGATGACTACGAATTACGAAAGTCTAGACTCAAAAATTGTGGGTTTTGGATAAAGCTTCATGGGAAAAGGTGTGGTGTATTAAACTTCAGAATAGATTTGTACCAACGTGATAACATGTGTTTAGAGTCGATGAATTGTAGTCTTAACTATAAGTCTGTTAAGTCATAAAAACTAAGTGAGAAAATGAGGTATTTGGGTGTAATACCTCAGCAGGTCAAAGGTCAAGTTCTTTTGCGTGGAAATCGGTTAGTTGGTCATTAAACTGATCGTAGAATACATATTGTTGGTAAAAAGTGAAACCCTCTCAAAAGAGTAAAACACACAACTTCACCTAACCGCTTCAACCTTTGCTTCTAATTGCCAAAGTACAGAGAAGTGAAGCCAGATGACTGGATTTTCGTGAACGGTACTTAGTTGACCTTTATTTACAATCAGTACATGTCAGCCTCCTTGATCTTAATTGACCTTCTATGAAAAAGGAAGGGTTACAACGAAGGACATTTCGAAACCCTGAAACCCTGCAGGGAACTCTCGACGCAGCTTATCGATGGTCCATCATTAATGACATCGAATTCAACGTTGAAAAATGCAAGGTTGTATCGCTGCGCCACAGGGGTCGCTTTCCATACTTACTTGGAACTCAGCCATTGCCGCGTTCTCCAAACGAAAAGGACCTAGGAGTTATCGTTCGTGAGGATCTAGGATGTTCCACACATTGTGCAAGATCGTCTTCAAAGGCTATAAAACACGCTAGATTGTCAAAACGTGTTTTTGGATCATTCGAAAAAGACCTATTGCCCCGTTTATTATCAGCATACATTAGACTACACACCGAGTAGGCTATACAGACTTGGAATCCATGGCTGATTCGCGACCAAAAGGTACTCGAACGTCCGCAGAGAACCGCAACCGAAGTAGTCAAAGGATTACAACCTAAGACCTACGGTGAAAGACTGTAAATTCTCGGACTCTACTTGTCTGAATACCGTCGAATACGGGGAGACATGATGCTCGTTTGTCAAATACTACATCAACCTAACCACCCATGTAGAACTCTGGTGAGGCTATCCAGGAATGGTCACCCCCGAGGACATCCGTTTAAACTTCCGCTCCAAAAGAGCCGGATCGACTGCACGCGTCATTCTTTCAGCTTCAGAGTTTGTAGCACCCGGAACTCTCTTCCACCTCAAGTGGTTAGTGCACCAACCGACGATTCATTTAAATCACGACTGGATGAAGCATTGAACCATCTTGCTTTTCAGTACCCGTGAGTGAATGTCAGAATTTGCTATTCATTTGTACTACCAACCGAACCCAGTGTGTGTACAGACCCTATGGGATTAAATAAGCATCAGCTTTGTGATTTACCCATAATAAAAATTTGAATTTGATGTCTGTGAAATAACCACCTTGTAATTCAACAATCCTTAAAACAGGGGTGTACCCTTTCTAATTCAGAACGTACAGTAAGACGAATATTGAAGAACTGTGAATGTCTAAATGACAAGCCGGTCGCCGAAGGTAGCGCCGTTGTCACTGGTGCACGCATCTTCAGTGATTGATGAAATGGGTAGCCGAAGGACAGCGGGCGGAAGTTTAAGGTCAATGGCTGTTCAAGGTGAAGAGTTGAATTTGTTCAAAAATTGATTGATGCCTCACTCTTTTTATTGATACCTTCAATTGCAAGTGTGAGCTTGTTTGAATTAAACTCAAATTAAAATCCTGGACCTTAATTTCGCATTCCAGTTCAACCAGCCCTCTAACTAGGTATCTGATCGGGGCAGTCTAGAAAATCATGGTGAATGATCGGTGACGTTAG